TGTCGGAAGACTTCTCGTCACCAGGCCGGCACCGGCCTCAGATCCCGGCCCTATCAAAGCCGGAAGTCAAGAGGCTTCCAGTCTCCCGTCTCCGCCCCAAGTGTTAGAGAAAGGGATGAACAACCGCTGCCATCCCGGCTCTGCAAGAGAAGCTCCGTTTCGGCTTGCTTTCTCGGGATACTGCGAGCTGTTGTCGAGGTTTCAGATTTGAAGTGTTCTGCTTGCGAAGTACGTCGGCTGCCACATGCGCGGTGTGTAAAAGTATCCTCTCGGGAAAGAACGGAGCCTCAACATATTGCGTTGTACTTCACCTTTTCCCATCACAAACAGTATCTCATAGTTGACACAGTAATTGGCACTGCACCGCCCTGCACGACCTGTTGCTTCTGCTCCGATTCTCACAGTTTGCGGAAGTGCTACCCTGCTACACCGCCAGATAGTTCAGTGTGGACTGGTAGCTTCTTCTATGATCAGAATTTTGTCTTCAACCTTTGGCCTCCATGCTCGATAACAGGTCTGTGGCACACATCAGACTTCAGCCACGGCTTGGGCTGCGGGCGCTTTGTGGGAATTGCCTGTTTCTGGTTGTATCAGCTGTAGTCTTCTGCGGAGGGGAGATTGTGGCAGTAAGCACCTGCTGCGGCCTGGCTGTCTTCTGCTTTGCAGTGCAGTCGCAGCCTCGACTCTCAGCCAGTGGAACACTTTCGATGACCGCACTGAATCTTCTGAGCCGCATGCTACCGTAGCATCGTGCTTCCATGCACACAAACACCTCTCGATACATCAGGCTTTGCAGTGGGACTGCTATAGTCTTTGTGGCTGGACGTATGCTGTGGCTTTTGTGACGACTTGGTGGCATGCCCACCCTGGCCGTGCCAGCTGCCACTTATGTATGAGCTCGCCAAAACGAAAAAACTTATGCTTACAAAGCTGCATCGCGGATGTCTCCTGAAAATGACCGGTATCCCTGGAAGGAGGCACTAGCCCACAGAAGTCTTCAGGCAACTGCAAAACAACTTAAGGTTAGAGAGAGTGGTGTCTTGCTGCACCTTCTCTTGCCTTCCGAACCTGCCCAAACCATCTGCGTGCATTTACACATAGTAATATATACCTACCTATTTATACCTATAAGTAATGATAGGTCTGATAGGTGCGTGCGCGCGTACGAACCTGTAAGCACGGCTACTTCCTGTCTTGCAGCTGCAACGAGTCTGAGGACGGCCAGTTGCTCGCAGGCAGGGATTCAGCAACAACCGCATCGCTTGCAGACGGACCTGGCTCTTGCTTGCTCTTTCACCCTGGGCCTGAGCTTATTGCAAACGCTATCGCCAGATCTTGCCCACCCGGCGGCAGGCTTTCGTCAACAAGACGTCCAACAAGCGAATCAAAGTTCTCAACAACGGAATTGAGGAGTTCCGGCACACTGAGCATCAAGAGCTTTCTGAGGCGACCGCTTTCGCCTGACTGGCTTGTGTAGCTGCGCCGAAAAGTTGTGAAGTGTGCCGCGGTACTTTACGCATACAAATCGACAGGTGTAGTTCACAGCCGCAGACACCATGTGCATGCGGACATGTCTCGGACCAGCAGCATTCCGCCAAGAACGTAGCAAAGGCTGCGCGAAGCTGGCAATGCAGGTCTCATGCCCCCTTTGCCAAACGTCTTCGTGGCCCTTTCGACTGGGAATGACATGCCAGCCCCAGCTCGGGAAAGGGTGCAGGGTCGGGGAGAAGAAACGAAGAGCAGCAGGAGCTTGTGGCGTGCTGCTTTCTGGGCAAGATGACTGCGAATCCGAATTTTTACCTGGCGGGCCGTTTGGTGCTCAAAAGTCCGCTCGGCCCCTGTTTGGAAAAACTTCTTGTACTGCGGACACTTGCCTGGAACACATGATGTTCAGAGCGCGATCGCAGCACGTTAACAAAGAGGGACCGATCGCAATTTCGAGAGCTGTTTTGTCTTGCTGGCGCATAATGTTCTGCAGCCAAGTGCAGTTTCCGCAGAGGCGAATGCGATTTCACGAAATGCACGGATCCTATAGGTCCAGATTCCAAACGAGAGACTGCAAGCTTGCTTTGACCTTCTGAACCCAATACTGCAACTTTTGCCACCCTTGCTCCCTTATAGGCAGCTGCAAGACCTTCCCCGGCAGCCTCTTCCGAGCCTTCGGCGTGGCAGATCCTGAAAGCGCAGAGTATATATCACCAACGACAGGCAACGCGTGGCTCCTGGTGAGCGGAACAAGACTCGACTGCAAGCCACTTCAGGGTTGCCATCCCATGAGCACATTCACAGATGCGACGTATACTATTACTAGCCTGACTGATATGAACAGAACCACGTTTCAAGACCAAGGACCGCTGGCGGACCTGCAGCCCAAACCCCACCATCCGAAAGGTCCCAGTGGTCCTTACCTGTAGGCTTTGACTACGACTACGAAGGACCCAAGGTCCTGCAAGTCATCGTGGCAGGACCTGCTGCAAGGAAGCGGGAGTGGTGCCTTCGCCTGAAGATGCAACCTGACAGCACCACTCCACCATGAGAGCATCGGCTGCACGAAGCTTGCAGTCCACGTTCCAGGCCACCGTGGCCACATGTCTTCAGGGCACTGACAACTGGGATTTGAATGCCTGCCCTGGCTCGCGAAAGAGGGCAGTGTCGGGACTGGGGAAGAAAGAACTGCGGCAGCAGGAGTTCGCAACATGCAGTTTTCTGGGCAGCATGAAGGCGAATTCGAATTTCTATGCCTGGAGGGCCGTTTGGCACACACTTTTTTGCTGGACACCAGTTTTGAGGATACTCTTTTCTATGCTATACACACTTGTCTGATACATGCACTTCGCAACAACATTAACTTTCACAAAACAAGAATGCACGCATATCTGCCTAAGTCTTGAGCTCGAGGCCTGCGGAAGGCACCGATTGCAGCTCCTTCCAAGTTTACGTCGTTGCCTGCCTCGGTGCAGAGGTATGGGATTCATGCTTACAAGGTCAAGGAGGAAATTGGGCATGCCGAAAAGTTAGGTAGAGCTTCCACCGGTCCTGCAGAACTCTTCTGTGTTGGACACGTCAGGAACTTATGGGTGCCCTAAGCGGGACGAAAGCACAGGGCTGTGACGGAATTGTAGAGGGTTGTTTATGGGATACCCCCATCCAGCTGTTGGCCAGATTCAGTGAACTTCTTAAGAACTTCTTAAATTAAATGAAAAGCACAGAGATCCGAAAAGGGCCACGTGCGGCCGCGATCCAAAAGCCTGATGCACGAAAGCTTGGTTATGCCTGCCACAGAGCAGGGTTTTAGAGTTTGGGGAGGTGGAGCGGGCAGGTGCATGTTGATGGCGACCTGCTTGTGCGTAATTCCTGCCGCCGGTGTGGGAGCAAATGCTGACGTTTGAGGCGGTGCCTTGCGGCCATGCGTCTCACCTGATGTGGCTCCCCCGTCTCGCAGCCAGCGCAGGTACCTGAATTACCTGACCAACCTCAAAGCAGATGCATTCTTCAGCCCTCCGCAAGAGCCTCAGCGATGCAACCTGAAGCGAATGTGTCTCACCTGGCCTGTGCCCCTCGAGTGAGCAGTACTCGGCCAAGCTCGAAGCCGACACATACTCTATGTGTCTCACCTGGTCATTGTGACTCCCGGTGTCTTGCGGCGACCGGCGGCACCTGACCACCCTCGAAGCAGATGCATATATGTCAACCCACCAGAAGTGTGTGGCCTCGTGGCGAGGCAACTTCGCAGAAGTCCTCTACAGGATCACACAAAATTCGCTCGAGAAAAGGTTGCTCTGAGTGGATAGCAGCACAGAAGCGACACTTGTAGTGCTGCAACCTCGTATCCGACAGCCGGGCGGAAGCGCAGCATGCCCCGGCAAACGCAGCTGCCGCTTCACATGTTGCCAGTCAGCGCCCAACAACTCTGCCAGTGGCACTTTGTGCCTGACTGGAAGCGCGCCGGTAGGCCTTGGCCGAGGCTTTGATACTCGTGCCGGTCTGTCTCATGTTATCGCAAGAGTTGCATAGCTATTCTTGCATCGAGACGAAACGCAACATCGTTGCTGGGTAGTCTGGCGAAGGGAGCTAGGCAGCAGGCACTGCTTGTCGTGTGACTCAAGACCACTGTTGAACGTCCTCCCCGTCTTGATAAACTCAATCTTCGGCTCATGATCATGCAAGACTACGCAGGCCGCCATCCCTTTACCTGGTACTTCTCAAAAAGCGGTGAAGAGAAGGGAATTCGGGAAGCCGGATGTCATGGACAGCACGCACAAATGCGACGTCTACTCTATGTTCTATGTCTCACAACTCGAACTGACCTGACGAACGGCATCGCTGTTGTGAGCAGGACTTGTTGAGGCCTGTCTTCGCAAGTATAGTCTTCAGGGGGCCTTCAAGCAGCATGGAGGTCTTGCACCTGCTGTCTTCGTGGCTGATGCACAGCAACGCAAAGCTGGCTGAATATGAAGCTGCTCCAAGAGGGTCATGACTGCGACACATTCGTTCAAGTCAATAAAACTTCCTGCCCGGGTCGTCTCAGGTCCGCGGCACAAACATGGGCTGTCAATGCCGTGAGCGTAAGCAGTTTCTCTGCATAATCGGCAGTGCAGGCCTGCCAGTAGCACCTCACACTGTCATTGCTTCGTCGGGACCCCAACTGCCCAAGATTGCCGGACTTTTTCGACATGTTGGTTTACACAGGTCCGACATGCACCGATCAGCACGCCAGGTGGGAGTGTCGCCATGCAGCCGTCGTCACGACAGAAGCGATCGCTGCAAGTATGTGACTTGCCCGCCATGGGGACGCAAGCTTAGGCTTGGCTTGCATTGCTGCCGGCAGCTCGCGAAAGAGGCCGTGGCCGCTCCCGCGGGCCTCCCCGGCCCCGGCCCGCTCCGGGCAGCGCGCGAGGTCCGCGAGGGTTGGGGGCAGCGCCGTCGGATCTGGAGCCGGGGCCTGAAAAGGATGCCGCGCTCCTAGGCCTTCCCAAGAAGATCCTGCTGCCGAAGTCAAAATGAAATTCAAAGGCGACCTGACCTGTTCTCTGCTCTCCTCCCTGATCCAGCTACCCAGAGCCCTTCGGAAGCAAAATCGCAAGGCCACAGTGCAACGGGTGCCAGAGTATGTGGTGCCCGGTTCAAAGCTGGAGGCTGCATCGGTCCATCCCCACGCAGCGCTGGAGACCCAACTGGAGCTCGAGGAACGGGGGTGCTGGTGCTGGTGTTGCTGCTGGTGTGGAGGTCCCCCAGATAAAGATCCATGTGACAGTGCATGGTGCCATGATGTGCCATGGAGCCCTTGCAACAGACGGCAGCTCCAACGGTTGGACCAACTCGCGTGAACGCGCCTTGCCATCGTGAACTGCAACATCAGCTGTGCCTACAGGCGTCAAACTCTCTTGAAGCCAAACGGTGGCCAGCGGGTAAATCATAAGGCCGTGCGTGAATCGGGTTCGCCCTGGAGCCCTGAGTCTCTCACAGGACTGTTATTTGCAGTTAACCCCAAAAGCTTAATCTGTGTTTGTAAGGACATTGGGGCCAAATGCCGCGCACTCGTAGGTCCTGCAGAAAGGGTTCGGGCTCCTTGGTCTGAAGGAAAGGACATGAACTCTCCTACTAGTGTGTGAGCTCCATAGCGCCTGGCGCTGTCACACCGCTTCAACTTGCACTGCGATCGTGTCCCATCCGGGACCGATTGCCACGGGCAGTGCCAGTGGCCCCGAGCCATGGCTACATGCAGAAGCAACGCGAGACGCAGTGCACGCAATCGGCATGCGTGGTCGAATGCTGTTTTCGGAGTTCTCAACTCAAGTTGCAGCCGGCGCGGAGTCCTGGCACCTGAAACCTCACAGAGTCATTGCATCGTCGCGACCCCACAGGCCCAATTGTCACTCCGATTCACAATTTGAGGCACGCAGCGGTCAGCAGCCCATGTGTGGTAGTGTCACCATGCGCTGATGCTGTCACGGCTGTGGCATCCGATGCTGCCATGGCTGTGAAAGCGGTCGCTGCAAGTTCGTACCGTGCCCACCAACCCTGTTTCTGGCTCAAGGCCGGAGATGCGCAACCACGACGGAGAGAGGCAAGATGGTGCTGCTTGAATCGCATCACGACTGGAAGCGCTGCCCATGCCAGTGCTTCATGTGGAGATCACAAGGATGCTGTTGATGCCTTTTAACTTGGGGAGCACATGAACTACAGAGAGAAAACTTTCGAAGCCGACTTGAGATTCGAATCACTCTACGTCCAGAAGGCTTGCGCATGTCTGCCAATGGCCCTTGGTCGCCAGAGCTTGGATTCTCGTGCAGGTCTGTCTCTCGTCGCCGCGAGACGTGCTCATGTTCTCTGCTCCAGACACCCGATTATGTGGAGGTTCTCCGCGTCTTGATGAACTCGATCTTCGATTCATGAACGATTATGCAGGCCTAATTCCTTTTCCTGGTAGGTTTGAAGACCCGAATTCAGCAGTGAAGCGAAGGAAAGGGAGGCCGGACGACATCACAACTTGAACTGACCTGACGAACGACATGGCTTTTGGGGGCCTCACTTGCAGAGGTCTGGAATCGCAAGTGTGCTCTTCAGGGAGCCCATCTTTGTGGTTGATCCGGAGGTGCAGCAGAGCGGCTAGACGAAGCTGCTGCATGTTGGCTGCAACAGTGTCATGACAGCGACACATTCGCTCAAGTCACAGAGCTTCCTGTGCCAGTCGCGTCAAGTCCGACTGCAAAAAACATAGGCTACAAATGCCGTGATGGAGCATAGTCGGCCCGTCGGCAGGCCTGCCAACAGCACCTCACACCGTCATTGCTTCGTCGGCGCTCCAACTGCCCAAAGCTGCCACCTTTTCTCGGGTCGCCGGTTCACACCTGTCCGGCACGCATCAGTGAGCAGGTTATTGGTGGCAGTGTCACCATGCAGCTAATGTCGTTGCATCTGATGTTGCTGTCGTTGCAAGTTCGTACCGTGCGCACCAACCCTGCAACCTACTGAACGGCGGTAATGCGCAATCACGACGGAGAGAGGCAAGACGGTGCTGCTTGAATCGCATCACGACTGGAAGCGCTGCCCATGCTGGTGCATGCTGGTGCTTCATGTCATGTGGAAACAGCAAGGATGCTTCTGATGCCCTGTAACCTTTCGAGCTCACCATACGGAGCAACAAGTTTCGAAGCTGGCTTGAGAGTCAAACTCGAATCACTCCACGTCCAAAAATTTTCCGACGCCGCTTACATCAGGTCCGCGGCAAGAACATGTTCTGTGAACCCTCTGCACCGCCTCTTTGAACACCACGGGCAACGGAAAGTCCACCTCTAGTCCCCTCATGGCAGCTCGTGGTCGGCAGGCTTGGTGGTGGTGTCGCCGTTCAACTGATGCTGTTGTCGCCGTGGAACCGAGTGCTGTAAGTTCGTGCCGTGCCCACTCACCTTGTGCGGTCACAGAAAGGGGCAAGAGAGTGCTGCTTGAATCGCGTCAGGACTCCAAGCATTACCCCGTGGCTTACTCGCAGACCACATGGACATGATTCACGCCCTTTAAGCTGTCGGCCGCAAGAGACGGAGCAGCACAATTCGAACATGGTTTGAGAGCCCAATTCGAAGCATGCCATGTCCAAAACGCTTACGCCTGCGTGCCAATGGCCCTTGAGCACCACAGGATTGATTCTCGTGCAGTTCTGTCTTGTGTTCCCTAGTGGCCTAGCCTTCCACCCAAAAGACCCGCAACGTCGTAGCTGGGTAACGAGGCTCAAGGAGTGGCACACGGCAGTCAGCAGGAGGCCGGGTGGCGGTGTCACCATGAAGCTGAGACTGTTGCCGCTGTGGCATCTGATGCTGCTGTGGCTGTTGAAGCGATCGCTGCAAGCTCGTACCGTGCCCACCAAGCCTGTTGCTGGCTAGAAGCTGGAGATGCGCAATCACGACGGAGAGAGGCAAGACGGTGCTGCTTGAATCGCATCACGACTTGAGCGTGCTTCATGTGGAGGGAAGGAAAGGGAGGCCGGGCGACATCACAACTTGAACTGACCTGACGAACGACATGGCTTTTGGGGGCCTCACTTGCAGAGGTCTGGAATCGCAAGTGTGCTCTTCAGGGAGCCCATCTTTGTGGTTGATCCGGAGGTGCAGCAGAGCGGCTAGACGAAGCTGCTGCATGTTGGCTGCAACAGTGTCATGACAGCGACACATTCGCTCAAGTCACAGAGCTTCCTGTGCCAGTCGCGTCAAGTCCGACTGCAAAAACCATAGGCTACAAATGCCGTGATGGAGCATAGTCGGCCCGTCGGCAGGCCTGCCAACAGCACCTCACACGGTCATTGCTTCGTCGGCGCTCCAACTGCCCAAAGCTGCCAACTTTTCTCGGGTCGCCGGTTCATACATGTCCGGCAAGCATCAGTGAGCAGGTTATTGGTGGCAGTGTCACCATGCAGCTAATGTCGTTGCATCTGATGTTGCTGTCGTTGCAAGTTCGTACCGTGCGCACCAACCCTGCAACCTACTGGACGGCGGTAATGCGCAATCGCGACGGAGAGAGGCAAGACGGTGCTGCTTGAATCGCATCACGACTGGAAGCGCTGCCCATGCTGGTGCATGCTGGTGCTTCATGTCATGTGGAAACAGCAAGGATGCTTCTGATGCCCTGTAACCTTTCGAGCTCACCATACGGAGCAACAAGTTTCGAAGCTGGCTTGAGAGTCAAACTCGAATCACTCCACGTCCAAAAATTTTCCGACCCCGCTTACATCAGGTCCGCGGCAAGAACATGTTCTGTGAACCCTCTGCACCGCCTCTTTGAACACCACGGGCAACGGAAAGTCCATCTCTAGTCCCCTCATGGCAGCTCGTGGTCGGCAGGCTTGGTGGTGGTGTCGCCGTTCAACTGATGCTGTTGTCGCCGTGGAACCGAGTGCTGTAAGTTCGTGCCGTGCCCACTCACCTTGTGCGGTCACAGAAAGGGGCAAGAGAGTGCTGCTTGAATCGCGTCAGGACTCCAAGCATTACCCCGTGGCTTACTCGCAGACCACATGGACATGATTCACGCCCTTTAAGCTGTCGGCCGCAAGAGACGGAGCAGCACAATTCGAACATGGTTTGAGAGCCCAATTCGAAGCATGCCATGTCCAAAACGCTTACGCCTGCGTGCCAATGGCCCTTGAGCACCACAGGATTGATTCTCGTGCAGTTCTGTCTTGTGTTCCCTAGTGGCCTAGCCTTCCACCCAAAAGACCCGCAACGTCGTAGCTGGGTAACGAGGCTCAAGGAGTGGCACACGGCAGTCAGCAGGAGGCCGGGTGGAGGTGTCACCATGAAGCTGAGACTGTTACCGCTGTGGCATCTGATGCTGCTGTGGCTGTTGAAGCGATCGCTGCAAGCTCGTACCGTGCCCACCAAGCCTGTTGCTGGCTAGAAGCTGGAGATGCGCAATCACGACGGAGAGAGGCAAGACGGTGCTGCTTGAATCGCATCACGACTGGAAGCGCTGCCCATGCTGGTGCATGCTGGTGCTTCATGTCATGTGGAAACAGCAAGGATGCTTCTGATGCCCTGTATAACCTTTCGAGCTCACCATACGGAGCAACAAGTTTCGAAGCTGGCTTGAGAGTCAAACTCGAATCACTCCACGTCCAAAAACTTTCCGACCCCGCTTACATCAGGTCCGCGGCAAGAACATGTTCTGTGAACCCTCTGCACCGCCTCTTTGAAACACCACGGGCAACGGAAAGTCCACCTCTAGTCCCCTCATGGCAGCCCGTGGTCGGCAGGCTTGTTGGTGGTGTCGCCATTCAACTGATGCTGTTGTCGCCGTGGAACCGAGTGCTGTAAGTTCGTGCCGTGCCCGCTCACCTTGTGCGATCACAGAAAGGGGCAAGAGAGTGCTGCTTGAATCGCGTCACGACTCTAAGCATTACCCCGTGGCTTACTCGCAGACCACATGGACATGATTGAAGCCCTTTGAGACATTATTGAAGCCCTTTGAAACTATAGCTATCGGCAGCAAAATTGTCGCAACGTAGGTTGTGAAAACCAATTTCGAATCATTCCATGTCCAACAAACTGGTTGCACCGATCATATTCGATCCTGGCCCTCTACAAAAGCGTGGGCTGTGGATGCGGCGAGCGTAGCTCAAGCCGTGATCCCAAATCTTCTCTGCTCGCCTCGTTGACCCCTACAGGCAACAGGAAGCAGGAAGTCCATCTTTGTTCCCTCATAGCGAACGCCGCCTCACACCTCCGGTCACAGGTCACCTAGGATTGCCCCGAAGCGCCAAGTGGCCAAGAGAAGGTTGAAGGACGACCCGGCATAAGCCTTGGGAGGGAGAAGTATCTCCCAGAACTGCGCAAAGCCA